ATGGTTCGCTTATTGGATTTCTAATCCATGTATCATGTTTGGTCCCAGAACATACATTTTATTTTGCTTTCGATCAGATTTACTACCTTAAATCCTCTCCCTGTGTGTCAGTGTGTATAATATACGATTCTGAATTATTTCGCTCTTAGGGTTGCTTAATGATTAGGGTCGGAAGTATGGTGGTGGGAGTGCCGTGAGGTGGCTGTTAGATGGCTAGCGAATGTTCTGTTTTTGTAACCCGCTAAACCTCTCTGTGCGTATGCTTATCAGGTTTCTCCACTCTTTCACCGAGCGATTTTGACCTAGACATCGGGTGTCTGACCATATGCTGCTTTTTACTCAAGGAGTCTAGTCTGTTTTGAGCTTTGCTCTCTTGAATTGTGGGTTTTCTGCGCTTTTGTATGCAAGAAGTGACGAGAGAGGGGTTACCACTATCAGGGCGACTTTCATCCTTCTGATTTCATTTTAAGAACTGACACCAGGCACGATTGCTCCAGTGATTAATTCAATTTTCGCGCACTTATGCGGTATTCTAGGCTAAGTAAGAGGTATGGATGGACGTAGAACGTGGTGATCGGCGAAATTTAAGTGTTATAACGCAGGGGGACTCTATTCCATCGTATACGGTTAGGCACTACGTCCGCAAAAGGGGTAGGCCGATGTAGGGCATGGTCCGTTATCAAGAAAAGGTGGGGGGGGAGAGAGAGGTTGCCATGTCCGCCCAGAACAGACATGCTGCGTTTTCGGCGGTTAGTGGTTGAATCATGTCCTAACCACGGTCTGGTATTGTGAGTGGCTTTCAGCGTAAACCGCAGAAGTTATGCGTCGTTTGATTCGAATGCGCGCTGGGCCCTTGCGTAGCCCTTGTCGCCGGACTGAGGGGTACAGCGGTGGATGGACATTCATCGATCGGTTTCGGAACTCATTCGTGCCATTGTGCCCTGGCTCACTCGAGGTGTACGTATGATATGCTAGCCTCTGAGGGACTGATGGCGACTCTCGAAACTGAGTCCCAATCCATGACAGAACGAGTGAGTTCCGTAACCAATCGGTGAGCGGTCATCCTCCACTGTAATATCCCCGATCTGAACCGACAGGACAATGAACCCGTGGCGCAGTGGTTAGGGC